AGAGAGAGAGAGAGAGAGAGAGAGAGAGAGAGAGAGAGAGAGAGAGAGAGAGAGAGAGAGAGAGAGAGAGAGAGAGAGAGAGATTTGTGACTTTGTGATGTTGACGACATTTGGATACAGACTCGACTTTGGGATGGAGACATTGGAGGGAGACTATTTGGGATCGGTATCAACGACATTTGTGTGACGACATTCCATCTTCCCCCTCTTCTTCATCTGATCCCCCTCCTCTTCATTTGTGTATGATCTGAGCCTGGCGCATTCCTGTGTGTAGCACCAGGCCCTTTCACACCTTGCGATGATGATGATGTATGTTTGGTCTGCATTGCGACATTGATTTGTCTGATCATTGGTATTTTGGCCTTCCGCTGCGCTATCCTGTACTACGTGTGAGAGGTCGGTTCTTGTTCTGGTCTGCACCGTTACGGTATGCAACACCTGCCTCTCTAGTCAGAATCTGTAACTGTCACACAACTGATAAAACTGATGCGTGATTGTCTGCAGAAATTGTAGCTACAGCAGCATTGCACAAATTCCGCTGCCCTGTTGGGGCTATCACCACTGAAGGATTGAGTGCTTCAAACTCTGTTGCAAATTCTGTACAGGGACGCTGTAACCGATTTCCAGCAGGTGCTGCCCCCCACCAATGGATCGAGGCATCCTAAAACACTACTAGGTGGGGATGATCATATCACCCCCCCTAGTAGAGGTCACCGGTGTTTCTCCACAAAAAGAAAAAGAGATACTGTCATGGTAACCGCAGACCTAACACCGAACACTCCTGGACTGTCTTCCGGACCAGTGTCTGGACCGGTCCAGACTGTCCGGTGATCCGGACATCACCGGACACCCAGACAGTCCGAAACAGTGTCAGGGGGTACAAAATGTCCGGACCAAAAAAGAAAAAAAATGGGAGAGGCCGGGGGACCCTGTTGGCAGGCACTTACCTGCTTTGCACTTTGTAGTTCAGGCAGCTGAGCACCTGTCTTGCAGCAAATCAACAAGCACATTCAACTAGCAAACATGCAGAGTTGCAAACAGTGCAAAGCAGGCACAAGACTAAAGAAACAGCGATGTTACGATCCTGGTCATTCCCAAAGTGCAAATTCACAATGAAAGACAATGCCACCCAATTGCAAAGAGATAGAGACCAAAGAAGAGAGAAAAAAGAAGAAAAAGAAGAAGAAGAAGATGTACACCAGCAAGACTAATGACAAATCCCCCTTCTCTCTCTGCCTTCCTCCTCCTCCACTTCGCCAATATTATTCTTCTTCCAATAATAATAATAACAATGAGTAGAAGAACCAGAATCAATATCCGAAGTTCCTTCTTACTGCTGACGCAACAACAGGTCCACCATAGCTATGGCTTCCCCCTTCTTCCTCCTCTCACATGCCTAGGCTATGGCAGTCTACTAAGGGCTCTGCCCTCCTGTGCAAAGGACAACGCAAAGCAGCTATGTCGCTGCACTCCTGTCCAAAGGACAACCCTATGCCACTGCTCACTAAGCCACCATGTCTGAGTCTGCCTCGAGCTTCCTTGGCGTGGCACTACCCCAACTGGGGCCTTCCAGAGGGGCCTTCCAGATGCAGTGCCCAACAAGGTGGTGAAGATGGTGTCCACCATAGCCAGGTAGGTACCTCGCCACTATCCTCCTTCGCCCCCTTCTTCCTCCTCCTCAGGCTGGGCTGCTCGCCATGGCCAGGCTGAGCGCCCAGCTGCTCTCCTCCTCCCAGCAGCGCTCCCAAGTCCAGCACTTGGCTCCAGCAGCATGTTGCCAATCCTTGCATACCGCAAATGAGGACGAGCTGCTTGCTCCTCCCGAAGATATAGCGGCCTACTGGCCTCTTGGGCGGTGACTTCCTAGGCCGAGCGGCCTCCCAGCAACCGGTACCTCCTCACTTTCGGAGGGAAACATCATTGCAGGCTCTGATATCGTCCGGACAGGCCCTAGACTCAGGCTACTTGGACTGGTACCAGCCTACCTCTAACCTATCACTACTGGGCCTCTAAAAATGCCAACTTTTGTCTTCTTCTGCTCGGCCTCCAGTACCCGACACTTCTACCACCACTTGAGTGGTACCAGCCTACCTGCTACTTGAGTGTTTTTCCCCCTGCTCTACATGTCGTGGGCCTACCCCCGCTACTTGAGTGTTTTCCCAGCTGCAACCCTCAAAGTCATGGCCACAGGTAAGTACCGGCCCTGTGGGGCCTTTCAACCAACAAGTACCCTTGCGGGTCACACACACACTCAGGCCAACAAGCACTCAGACAGGCACGCAAACCAGTAGGCACACACACACACAAACTTAGAAACCACATCAGAATGCGGGAATCTCAGTAAGGCATTCATTCCAGCGGCAAATCCCATAAATCAGCAGTGTTCTCAGTCTGTGTTTTGGCGGGTCATAACACTACCCCCCTCTCAAGAGCGAGGTCCCTTCGAGTGAGTAACTCATTTAGAGTCGGCACAAAATGCGCCGTAGGTGTAGATCAGAAAGAGAGCTTTGGTATAACCGTGAGGAGTGAGTTTTGCAGACAACTAACAGTCTGTCCGTCGGCGATCTGTCATTCATAAGCGTTTACAACACGGGGAGCATTCTTTAACAGCTCTTTTCAGTCGATCCAGTAGAACTCGTTCAACATGTGATAGAAGAAGTGAACTTCGTATTGTTTGTTCCGTCCTCTTCCTTTATGGGAAACAATTCTGTCTATTTCGTGGCCACCATTGATAGCACAAGGTATCATAGGATCTCGGAAGGGAAAAGTTTCATCATCGATGTGAGAAAACAATTTGGACGCCTGAAAGACCGGATATGTGCGCAGATGAGGAGGCACGTCAATCACATACGAAAGACCAAAATCATCCCCTACCACCTTTAGAACTTGCCAAGGGCCATAGTACAGTGGAAGAAGCTTCCGTGATACGCCCTCTTCTTTGGAAAATTCAGACATCTTGATCCAGACATAGCTTCCTACTTCGATATTCCTTGCTTTGCGCGACTTGTTAGCATGTTTGATCATGGCATGCTGGCGCTTGCTCATTGCTGCAATAGCAACTTTGAGCAAACGTGCATACTTGGCATTGTTGCCAGGCATGTCGAACGTCAGTCCATGTGACTGATGGAGGAATAGATAGCAGAGAGGATTGCGCACTTGCCAACCGTATTGCAACTGATTCGGTGTCACACCAATCGCGGAGTGAATGGAGTTGTTGTACAACCCCTTGACTTTGTGTAACTCCTTGTCCCACGTGTTCTGATCGGGAACAATTAACGCGCAAAGCAGTTGAATGACGATTTGGTAGATTTCCTCGGCCAACCCATTGGCTTCAGGGTGTCGACCAAAAGTCTTGTTGAGTTTAATGTCATAGATCTGAGAAGGGAAGTCCTTTCAATCGGCATTAATGAACCTGGTGTCCCGATCACTCACAAGAGTTTTCGGGGGTCCATACTGCAGAATGTACTGCTGGTGAAATTCTTCGATCACAAGCTCAGTTGGTGCATGCGGAGGTAGAGGAATCCAATTCATAAATTTGGAAAAACGATCCACGATCACCATGACTTGTGAATGTCCTCCCTCGCTCACCTTCCCTATATCCATGAAATTGATAGAGACCGACTCACCGGGTCCATCAGGAATGGGGAGGGGTTTCAACAGGCCATAAGGCTTATGCCTATGAACCTTGGTTCTTTGACAGACTTGACAT